GGAATTAATATAAAAGAACAAAAATGCATAAATATAAAATAAATAAATAATTATAAATGCATAAGTTGATAAAAAATGCTTTATGGCGGCAGTCCCCGAGTGCCACAGTTTTTTTAATTCTATTTTATAGTATTTGTATATCGGCAACAGAAATATATCATCTGTAAAAATGTCAACTGTCACGGTTCATACATCCTGGTCACAGAAGGACAGACATAGACAGCGGAAACTTAGTAATACAGTCCCGTTTTACCCTTTACGTAACGTCACCCTTTACGTTGCGGTACGGAACCCTAATAGGCAAAAAATAATATTACATACTGTGTAATATTATTTTTTGTGTTTCAGTAGCGAAATCCTGTTCAAACGGAATCAACTTCACTTGAACTTGGTGACTAATCAAACATAGCTTTAGATAAGTCATCAATATCAAGTTGTAATATCAAATGTTGCATGGCAATGAAAAAAAAAAACAGCGAACCGATCGACCTTCGGCAACTATTCCGTATTGGTGCTGATTAAAAAAGGTACATAAACGGCGTCCAAAGACGGTCAAAAGTCAATTCGGTTTACACCAAGACCCAGGGCCGGATTTAGAGGTCTGGAGGCCGCGGGGCAACAAAGGAGTGGAGTCCCCTTGCCCCCAAATTATTTTCCAAATAAAATGAACAATTTTTTCAGTCGAGTATTCCAATAAATAATTTATTGTGAAACTAAGTATAGATTCTTTTATTATTTAACGAACATTACAATTAAAGAATAGACCCTGGAGGACCGGTTTTTTTTTTTTTTTTTTTTTGGTAAATCATGTATTTTGAAAATTGCATTTAGATACAAAATACTAAGTAACGAAATATGCATAATATTAGACCATCTTACCGACGAAAATGAACTGGTGTTTTTCAGAAAAGGAAGAACTTTAAAAATAAAGTGAAAAAAATAACAAAATCATCTGGATCGACAAAAAATAAAACATAAAGAAAGCAATGATCTGGAATCGAAAAAAAGTAAAAAATAAGTGTGTAAATGATCGTGACACGAACCATGGCCTTCTGTTTCGGGGCCGCCCGATTACCGACCGAGCTATTATAACATTTTTTTTTTCGGTGAAATTTGCCGTCGTATTCGAATGATATTTTTCATTCCCTGAAAACAGGGTTAAGACAACATTTTTTAAAAATGAAACCTAGCCAGATCGACTTTTCGCCCCCGAATCGCTGGAGCCGTTTCCGAGATTCCGATTATATATATTTACAAGAATTGCTCGTTTAAAGGTATTAGATAGGTCGATGATTTCTGGTAATATTTTTTTTATATATTTTTTATTAGTTTTTACAAACATGATAACATTACTGCTATTACTAGTTTGTATTACTATTACTACTAGTTTGTAGAAAGAAGTAAAACGCGGAAAAAAAATTTGAAGTTTACAAGTCTGAATTTGAATTTTTTCCGAAGTCTCTATTGTCCCTCTTTTATGAAGGCCCCGGGGCTGTAGCCCCGGTTGCCCTCCCCTAAATCCGGCTCTGCCAAAACCGCCTCGTCTTCAATTGATTGCTATATTTTTGCAGCATTCCCACCGCGTTCTTTGCATTTGATCTATTGTTAAATGTCATCGCTACAAAACGCATTGTCATTATGATTTAATTTTTTAAGGTATAAGTACAATAATTGTTGTTAAAATTAAAAAGAGTAGTAATCCTCAATCAATTTCTCAACGACAAAATCCACCGAATTGAGACAAAATAATTAGTTATTTCTTTTATGGGGTTCCGTACCCGGGACCTTAGACCGTACTCTAAGCCACCGCTGTCTATCTATCTATCTGTCTGTCCGTCATTGCAAGATTAGTGATGGGCTGAAATGACATAAATTTCAAAAGTCACAATTTCGTGGCGCGGTTGAAAAATTATTGGCTTCGACGCCGGGTGTTGTGGGCTCAATTGCCCCGCGGGACGGATATTTGCGATTTGCATATAATTCTTTCGTATCAGGGCGTTTGTCCAAGTGAAGTTGATGTATATAAAAATTCACACCATCATTCACATAAAGGAATTCTGAAGTAAACCGCTATAACTATTTTTACACGACTTCAAAAGAGGAGGAGGATTTCAATTCGACTGTATTTCGTTTTGTAACCTCATAACCTTAGACTGGGTGAATCGATTTTGATGATTCTTTATTTATGTGAAAGCTTGTGCTTCCCATGTGGTCCCATATTAATTTCATTCTTATTGGATCTTGAGCTCCAGAAATACTTAAGGAACTCCTGATAATCAATTTTCAAATACACAGAGCGAATACTCATATTCGAAGTCGGTTGTATTTTTCGTTAATAAATATAGACTTGTTTAAGTGCAAACCGAAATAGAGACGTTATTATATTATGACGCAATTCTTCATCCACACGATAATTATTCGCACAACACATATGTTAGAAAAAATAGTTAACGAAGAATGTCGACTGCGTAAATCCAAGCGGACGTAGGGATTCCCGTTGCGATGGTGACGTCGCCGTCGACGTTTCATCGCTTCCTGATCATGGGCAGCATCCTTCATTTGGTATTTATAACAGATTTTTTTGTTTTGCCCTCATTTTTTATAATCAATGCATCTTACTAAATGAAACTATGTTTACGGATTTATCGCGTTTATTTTAACTTTCCGACGTTTCGGACCCTTTACAGTTCATGGTCAGGCAGACTGAGGCGTTGGACGCCAAAAATAAAAAAAAATAACTAATAAGCTGTTAAATGGCTTTTCAAATGTCATTTGAGTTGCCAAAAAGATGGTTAAACTTTTTGAATTGATCATTCCGATTATTAAGAAGTTCATTCTGATTTTGAAAACTTTTTTGACATTTGAAAAGCCATCTGATAGCTGATTAGTTAATGTTTTATAGCGATGAATGGATTTTTGTCATCAAGTACCAAGATGCGTAGAATGAAAAGAGCCAGTGAGTTTTTAGAGAAGCGATGGATGTGAATTGCTTATAAAAAGTCGTAATTGAAAAAAAAAACTGTGACCTTACTTAAAGTGCTGATACGAGTCTATAGTGCGAATGAAGAAGTTTTCAGGTGTCTTACCCTGTCTTATCATTTTGTATCGATAAGCCGACATTCATAATATCAAGGACTAGAAAAACAAATTCGAACACTTCCTTGTGCTTGTGACATCAATAAATGCCCTGTCAATGTCTAGAGGCCGGGACGTTGAACCTAGGACCTTGGGTAAGGAGATTGCATCCCGGCTACGTGAATTGATAGACTTTCCGTTTCTACGATTTCTGTCCACTGTCACCTTCCGTAGTAAATATTCTTTTTTCCTCTGATTTGCAGTTGAATCCGAAAAACGAACATAATTCAAGACCCATTTAACATTTTGTTAACAGGATTAATTTGTACAACGATTCTAAGTACGTTTTATATCTTTATTTATATCTTCACGTTTGTTGTTTCGTGAAGGACTACATTCTTGAGTTATTTAAAATAGGGCAAAACATTCGCTCGATCCATTTCAATGTGAAATCAGTATGAAAGAATCAATACATTATTTCGATATTAATAATAAAAAATAATTTACCTATATTCACTTTGGAGCTATAGGACAAGACTGGATTTTGGACTCTGCCTGTAGACTAAAGCAGTCATTGGATTGATTTAAATAAAGATGACGCTAGTTAGATAGGTATAATTATAATCAATTGCAGTTGCCATACCTTGATCGATTCTACAAAGTGTAATAATAGTATAGTATATTAACACAAGATGTCACTTATTGATAATGCTGTTAATTTTTTCTCTTATTAGCGCTAGATGGCGGTAGTCCACGATCGCAAAGGAAAACGTCTGTGCAACATTTCTTTGGAAAAAACCACTCGATTTAAGCGCCTACAGGAAATGTAATCAGCGATGCTTTAGAAAAATATTGCCTAATTCGAATTCCGAGTAGTACCTACATGTATATAATGAACGAGAAAATTTTGGATTACAATATATAAGACAGATTATTTCCTTTAAACGCTATTTACTAACGAATATTCCAACTATAATACATTGCTCCTACGACTTCTAGCCACACACATAAGTAATACCTTTAATACACAAACCAGGTTTACAGAATTAAATAATGCTAGTACCAATGTAGCTTATTAATACTGGTTATTACTTCATATTGATTAATTTACTCCAACAAGTGAAGGTGCTGGTTCAATTAAAGAAAAAACTATAAACAACATATTTTTAACTACCGTTCGCCTAGTGGTCTAAATTCGACCATGATAGTTTCTAAAAAAATCTTTTTTTGTCTTAACATACTTCGTTGATCAGTAGCAAAATAGCTAGGTACTAAAGAAAACTGATCGACAGATAGGAGGAGAAAAAAACATTGAACTTGTTCATCGAAAGCTTAAGTTAATTTAAGATTCATCCTTAGTTGGCTTTATTTACGTCGCATGTGTGTCGCCGACTTATAAGCAAAAATGGTTAGCCAAAGGTTACAAGTTCGGAAAGACCTCTAAGTATGGAATAAACCAGAGTTGTGAATGGGTTCAGACCGAAAGATGAAAGCGGTCAATTTCTGGCATAATGTTAATATATAGCAATACAATCGTTTAAGCTCGGACGAAGGGGAAACAAGGATAAACAACAACAATAGATAAACTCTTAACTTAAAGTGAAATATTCAAAACTAGCATAATATGTATTTGCGAGGTACAGCCCCTACTGCATAAACTCCCGTTTATTACATGTTTTACGTTTCTCCAAACCATTCTGGTTTCTCAAGATTTTCTGCAGCCCACTAAACTCGTCAAAGGCCATACAACTAAAAGCTACAATATCCTATGACTCTTTTTTATAGAAAAGCTAAGCAGACAATTTGATTTCCAGTCATTATTTGAACGATTCAAACCTATAAATTTATAACAAGCCTTTATAACGCTAGTGATTTTCACTAACATCGCGTACTTGGCAGGTGGTGTTAAATAAAAAATAAAACGAATGAACTACCTGTTGTCTATATGCATAGTGTTTGATCGTTCTTCTATTTGCCCCAAACGTGATAATTGCGAAAGGTACCAGCGCATTGGCGGACGCCACTACGTTTTACGCTCGTGACCTCGGGACTCTGAGCTGACGTCTACTGCCACCGCCAAAGACGCGAAAAGTGATTCAGATCCCTCATTTGTAAGACTGCGTATAGACTCTTGTGAGCTATCGCCTCGCCGTGAAAGGTTCAACTGACCTGGACTAGTTTCTGAACAGAAGCAAGTTATCGCTCAATTTTTCTTTTACGATTGTATAAGGGTCCGCCGTGCGGCGCTGTCGCCAGTGGCTAAATGCGGGCCAGCAAAAAATATGAGGGGGAAAAAACCGGTAAAGTCCAAGTCGCACTCGCGCACGAAGGTTTCGTATGATTATCTATAAAAACGGAAATAAAATCATGTCTGCTGTATGGGTGCTCCACCACTTTTTTATTCTGTTTTTTTTTTTAGTTTTTATTGTTATAGTGGCATCAGAAATACATCAACTGTGTAACTATCGCGGTTCATGAGACACATAGTTACAGCCTGGTGGCAGACGGACAAACAGACAGCGGAGTCTTACGCCTGGTTTACGAAAAACTGATCATCGTAGACGTCAACTAATCAGCTGTCAAATGGCTATTCAAATGTTATTTGAGTTGCCAAAAGGATGGTTAAACTCTCTGAATTGATCACAATGATCTTCTTAATGAGCAGAATGATCAGTTAAAAGATTCTACCAATCCCTTTGGCAACTCAAATGACATTAGAAAAGCCATTTGACAGCTGATTAGTTGACATCCACGACGATCGGTGTTTCAGAAGCCGGGCGTTAGTGACGGGGTCAAGTTTTACCCTGAGCGCGCGGAACCGTTGAAAGGAAGCGGAGCGAGGGAGGCGATGGGGCCGCGGCCGGGAGGCGGGCGGAGTGCGCGAGTGGCGCGGGGCGGCGCGAGCGCAGGGCGCGTGCCGTGCCGCGTCGCGCCGACCGCCAGTCGCGCGCACAGCCCCGACAGGCACGCACGATGCTCGCGCACGCGCTCGCGGCCGCGCTGCTCTGCGCCCTCGGCGCCGGCGCAAGCCTCCACTGCGCCATGCGACGCGAGATATCGCCGTGCACCTGCCGCAGGGAGGACACCGGCACCGGCGGCGTCCTCGTCGTCTGCCAGCGCATCTCCACCTACGGGGAGATTGCGGCCGCCCTCGCGAACAAGTTCAGCCCCGAGACCAAGATAGGCCTCGACATCTCGTACTCGCAGCTGCCCGACTTCGGCCAGCACAGCTTCCGCGAGCTAGGCCTCTCCATCACCCGGCTGAAGCTCAACTTCGACAATCTGAGGCAAGTCGTTTTCCGTTCTACCTACTCGTACATGTGCCGCGGCGCGCTCGGCACTTCCTGGCCGCTCGTGTAAGACAACGCACTGACAGTCCATACAGATTCGCAAACGCTCCGCTAGTCGATGCCCCGTTTGCGATTTATAATATAAGTGGAGTTGAGGGTCGGTCAGTAAGCAGGTAGATGTGACTAGAGGGCAATTTCAGCCGTCGGTGGATAGCAATTGGAACGCCCATGACCCGAGCGCCGAGCCCAGGCGATCGATCCCGCGGGACCGCCGACCGGCTGCAACGCTAGCTACCGCCGCCCATTAGAGTAATATTTTTAAAGCCCCATCATCGTCGTACCACCGCCGAGCATCTGACACCAGCTACCCACAATTCCATTCAAAGCCCGGAACACATACGCGTCCACATCATATCGCGGGTCAAAGTGGCGGGTGATTTTACCAAATCGCCCACCGACATTTGCACGTCGCGTGAAATGCAGAAAACATTCGCAGTCCGCTTGTAACGTCCTATCGGCTAATTACATTGGCCGATGCTAAATGAATAGCGTTTCACGTATGGGGATCGCGGAGTCGGGGAGGGCCGATAGTTTGCCGGGTTATCTCGGGTCACTTCTAAAGCAGTAAAATTGAATGATATCGCATCGGTCGTGTCGCATCCACTGAGTCGACCGTTATTGGTGCGCTAGCAAATAACGCGACGTTTCTCCCCGTCCTAGGTGTTTCAAACACCCCATGAAATTGTTAGCACATAAATCGCCGATAAGTTCGCGACGCCTCCGGTTCGACGCGACTCCTTTGACAGCGCTCGATTCGATATTTTTTTTCGTAACGTTCGCCTCGGTTTGAATGAACATTGAGAACTCTTTACGTTTCACGCAGGACGACTGTTGAACAATCCCAAATCCCGATTTAATACAATAGACTTGATGAGCAAACGTACGCGCGTAATTTCTACCCACATAATATAGCAGATAGGAAAGCGTTATCCGTGACGCGTATTTTTCAATGTTCCGTCTTGTTTTATCTGCGTATTACACGATTACTATTAAGAGCGGTTGTGTGGTTGTTTATAAATATGAGCTAATGTTATCCACAAACGTTCGTGGTTGTTTGAAATGCGGTCGTGTGATTTATGGGAGGCACCCTGCGAACAACTAGTGCCCACGGCCCTTCGCTTTTGCCCTGTTTGAGATATCAATGATGAGGATACATTAGCATAAGTACACCTAAACACAAATAACGAGCACATTTCTTCTTAACGTAGTACGCATTGTATACAATTTCTAAAGATTATAGCACAACTCGAAACACGAGCGACAACGCAAAAACAATTCATCATGTTTTCTATTCATTCTCATTTTTTAATTTGTTTTTTATTTACAATCACGTATTTAGTTTTATCAAAGATTTACTGTGTTGATTTAATACATTTTAATATAATTTAAAAATTTTACTGGGTTAATTACAATAGAGCAGCCTAAAATACCCCGTACTAATTAGTATACAAAAAATGTTCACGTTCTTAATATATCAAAGGGCCTCGCGAAATGAGGCGAAGTGACGGCTGTATTAAGTTTAAAATTTTTAATTCAACATAATATGATAACAATAAGCTTAATCAAAAATCAATCGATTGATTAAAAAATAGGATCACTCTAAGTATAATTGTACTTCTTAGCCGGTTCACCATGATAGATTATAATTTGCCACTTAAAAAGTTACAGATCAGTTGGCTTATCTTTAAAAAAATAGATTTTTAAGAGGCAAACATTTTCCAGACTTTGTGTACGATTTCGAAAATCGATATAAAGCATCGTTATACATTGACATATCTAGCTGACGGCTGTATAACGATAGGCAATCTGGATATCCATGGCGAGATAAAAGAAAATCGTTGTTTTGCTTATAAAGTAAACAAAACTTCTAATTACGACCATGGTTAAATTAAACTATTTTTATTTTGATTTTAATTTCCCGGCATTTTGATAAATACGAATTCTAAAATAACAATAATCCATTATCACAGAACAAACGTTTAGTTTCATTTAATAATGTAAATAGTATACGTGTAAATACAAGAAATATATTATATATTTCCATAACGTTTTTATATTTGCAATGATAAACGAAAGTTTTACTATAGTACAACTTTACCGAAATGAATATAAATTACACATTTCATACTAAATGCAAGTAAATAATTGTGAAAAGATTCTGTTCATATTTGTTGTATGTTTTTTTCTTTTATGGCGGTTCACCTGATGTTAAGTGATAACCGTCGCCCATGGACATTTGCAATAGTATTAATTAATAGTATTAATAGTATTAATTATTAATTAATAGTATTAATTATTAATTAATAGTATTAATAGTATTAATTATTAATTGCAATAGTAATTTTAAATAAATATGTATGAAAGTTCATATTTTTTTAAATTTTTATTTGATTTTGAGTACGGTATATGGATAGATTTAATTACTACTGCGGTTCGAATAGCGAAGCCGTGATAGAGCTCATTGTCTGGGCGCTCGCTAAAAGCGATTCAATATACTCGAGCCTCTCGAGTTCGATCCCCGGTGCCGGCACCAATGAAATTGTAAATTTTAAGTGCTGACTTACCTGTGCGTAAATTTTAAGTGCTGACTTATCCTGTGCTCAGCGGTGAAGGAACCTTGTAGGTAAGTTGCATAATTTCGAAATCATAACAAAAAAAATATTTCGAAAATATGTGAAGTCCGCCTCGCCTATCCGCAGTGGGGCCGCGGGGTGGACCTCCCTGATACCCTCGGTATAGAGGCCGTTGCCCAGCAGTGGGACAAGTAATTAACAGCCTTACTTTACTTTACTTTTACTGTTCGAAGACGAGGTGCGGTGCCTGCCTAACAGGAAAAAAATCTACTCTCTTCTATATCCGATTCATACACTTGTGGTGCATTGCAGAAATACTTATAAAATACTTTTGTAATGCCTCACATAGTTTTGGACAGCCAAATTTGAAGATGGTGTTCATGGTGTTTCATACTTTGTCACAGTGTAGGAAGAGGGAATTCAATGTAGAGCAATTATCCGTACTAATCCTTCCTAATATTATAAGCGAAAGTTTGTATGTATGTATGGATGGATGTTTGTTACTCTTTCACGCAAATACTACTGAATGGATTTTAACGAAACTTTACAATACTATAGCTTATACATCAGAATAAGACATAGGCTATAATTTATATACATATTTTATGTATATCTGTCTTTCTGTCTGAATGTTCAGCCTATTCTGCGCAGACGTAGTCGTGGGAAGCAGCTAGTTTTGCATAAAGTATAGAAGTTCCTACACTAGTTCCTATATTACTTAAAATAAAATGCTAAAATAACAATAATCCGTTTCTCCGGCATACTAGGTAGGGAGAAAGGTGTTAAGCACCTTCGCATGTGGCTCGCCAGAATCCGAGCGAATTTGAGATACAGCACAGCGGGAGCCTACAGGATTTGAACCCGCGACCCCTGATTGATTACTTGAACACTTAGGTTAGTTTAATATGCATCGAGCTCAAAGCCACTGGCGCCTATTAACCTTGTGTCTCAATCATAAACACATATCTAATGTTCACTTCATGTATTGCCCACCCTAATTTTCTATTAGCACTTTGTATTGAAAAAACAAACGAAAGCATGGTATGAACTGTCCTTTTGCAACGAAGCTAATATTATTCAGGTATCAGCTATTGAATTGTTTTAAATTCCTGATTTACTAATTAAAATATAATAGATTATTTTCATAGAAAACGTTTCGTGAAATAAAAAATAATCAGTTACTAATATCGTATATATGCTACAAAATTATGTTAATCTAACCTAATTAAAACTAAAAAGGTGATAAAATTAATAAAATATTACTATAATACAAATAAAGTAAGCACTTATTAAAAAAATGAAAATGGACAAAAATGCTGGCCAAATCGACGCCGTCGATTGCCACGATGTATCGCTTACACAAGGTACACCCGCGTTCCAGGGCGGTTCTCACCGCCTCCAACCACCGATTAGCTAAAAACTCAGTCGACGGCCATCGGGGTCTCGATCCGCACCGCAACTTCGATGGCCCTTAGATGACATGTCGTAGTTAAACGCACGCATGAGCACATGCGCGGTCCTACCCACAGCGGAGGGCCCAAACCCGTGGGTTCTGGCTAGCCCACCGGTTGTGCGTCAGATGAAGCTTTAATAGTCTCGGGACTGAAAGCAAAAACATCAGTTAATACAAGATACAAGATACAAGATGTACCGCGAGGCTGATCCGCTTGCCAAAGTACAAGCCAGCTCTCTTTTTAGTAGTAACATCGAGGAAAATTGTGGCGAGAGAAAAATTGTTAAACAGCTTTCATTCGATACTGTTTTGAAATTCCTTTTTTAAATGAATGTTTAAGAGATTATACGGTAATTTTTGTTTTCTTAACAACCGTTATAAAGGTTTTCGATGTATCAACTTGTCTTACTATCTCTGTTGACTTTAAATTTACTAACACAAGATAACGGTCAATAATAAATATTTTTGAATGGGCTAGTAGAATTTTTAACGGTCGTGGAAGATTCTCGATTGGCGGCCGAGTATAAGGAGACATCTTGTCGAGATTGTGAGTATACGGAACCGCGCTGGAACATTTAGCACGGTACGAATCCTCCGTCATCTGCACGATGGTAGAATGGTGCCTCGTGATATTGAATAAAATTAATCTAATCTAAACGTTTATAGGAGATAGTAGGGCAATCAAGAGCGACAGTGGCCCACAGCTGGGAAAAAGTCACCTGTTTAGACTTTTTCTTATATCTGCATAGCGCTGGTTCGATGCACACAACTTCGAAATTATTTTGAATAAGTATTATGACTATCTTGATTGACACGCGCTTGATGATAATTACACTAAACAGAATGAAGATGAAATACAAAAGATATCATTCCTTTTTTTGTTCTTATTTTGATCTCTCTTTTTTTTAATGGTAGTAATACTTTTTATAGACCAGTCCGAAGTTTCCTCGGAATATTTGTCAATACAGTTTTCCGGCTGAC